CCGCGATACGTCCGCGGACAAACTCTCCTCCCGTGCGGTTCCCTGTGTCTTCCTTGGCTTTGTCCCTGACGCGCCTGGCTGGCGGTTTTACCACCCCACCATCTCTTCTCCTACTGCACGGCCCTGCTCCCCCCCCCGTCGCTCTTCATCACCCCAGGTGTCCTATCGGTAGACCCCCTCCCTCCCCAGGGTGCTGCTCCCTCAGGTGTTTCCCAGGTAGACCTGGTCGAGCCTGTCGAGGTAGCTGTTGACTCTGGTCCTGCGCGAGGTACTGAGTGTGCTGAGCCTGGCGGTGCTGGGTCTAGGGGCACTGAGACTGGGGGTGCTAAGCTTGGGGGTGCGGAGACTAGGGGTGCTGAGCCTGGCGGTGCGGAGACTTTGGGTGCTGAGCCTGGAGGTACTGCGACTGGGGGTGCTGAGCCTGGAATTGCTGAGACTGGGGGTGCTGAGTCTAGGGGTGCTGAGCTTGGAGGCGCTCCCTCTTCACAGCAGCTGTGTGAGTGGTACTCCTAGCGCTACAGCCTCCGTCGTGGGGCTACTGGAGCTGGGGGGTCTGCGGGAGTTGGGGCTGGTGGCCTCGCAGGTGCAAGGCCGCAGCCAGAGCCTCCCTCCCCTCAGCGGCTACGTCAGTGGTACGCTCGGCGCTGCAGCCTCAGGAGTGGAGCTCCTGGTGTTGAGGTACTGCCAGCTGGAGGCCCTGCTGCTGGAGGTGCTGCTGGCGATGGTGCTGCTGGAGGTCCTGGAGGTGCTGCTGGAGGTCCTCCAGCGGCTGGAGGTGCTGCTGGTGCTGCAAGAGGTGCTGCCGGTGCTGGTGGAGGCTCTGGAGCCGCCGGAGGTGCTGCTGGTGCTGGTTCGGCTAGAGGTTCTGGTGCAGTCTCTGCTGCTTCTGGGGGCACTTCACGGCCGCGGCCGTACTTTGTTCCGCTCCTTCAGCAGGTTCTTGGTCAGCCGCCTCCTCCTAGTCCTCCTCCCTCCTTAGAGTGTCCTCCGCCTGTCCAGTCGCAGTCCCAACTCCCGCCTACCTCGCCACTTCCTGGTCCTTCTCCCTACACTGGTCCGACATGCGGTTTTACAAAGCGTCGTGAGCCTGAGTCTCGTCCTGTGTCGCCTGTGTCGCGTCCTGTGTGACCTGTTCGTGCTTCTAGCACTAGTCCTCGTAGTCAGCGTGAGCGTCCTCCACCTGTGCCTGGCACACACTTTATGACTCTGCATCCTTCCACTGCTCCGCAGCGTGTCCCTCTACTGTCTCCTCCTGAGTCCTCTCTTCTTGTCCTTGCTGACCCGGAGTCTGACTCTCTTCGTGCTGCCAGTCCTACTGTCATGCGTCTCCTGGCCACTGCTGTCACTGACCCTTCCTTTGAGTCTGCTGCTGCGTCAGCCCTGGTTGCTGACCTTGTCGACTTTGCTGCTCGCAGTCGTCTAGACTACGCCGCGAGTCTTGTTGCTGAGTCTGAGTCTGTCTGTCCTCCGTCCGTCGAGGGTGAGTGTGCTCTTGGCACGGACGTCCTTGAGGACAGGCACGAGGACCTTGAGTGTCTTGCAGCCGCTGTGCCTCATCTCGTTTCCATGCTGATTGCCCCTGAGGAAGACCCGGATGCACCAGACATCCCGACCCCGCGCTCTTACGCTGAGGCGATCGCGGGTGAGTACTCCTCTCAGTGGCAGTCAGCCATGGACGTAGAGATGGCATCCTGGAAGTCCACTGGTACTTACGTCAACGAGGTTCCCCCTCCTGGGGCGAACATTGTCAGTGGCATGTGGATTTTCAGGGTGAAGCGGCCCCCGGGTTCTCCGCCTGTCTTCAAGGCTCGTTACGTTGCTCGAGGCTTCAGTCAGCGAGAGGGAGTAGACTTCTTTCAGACCTTCTCCCCCACCCCGAAGATGACCACTATTTGGGTGCTACTGCACTTTGCTTCTCAGCGTGATTACGAGCTTCACTCTCTTGACTTCAGCACAGCTTTTTTGCAGGGCAGCCTGCACGAGGAGATCTGGCTGCGCCGCCCTCCTGGCTTCACTGGGTCGTTTCCTCCTGCTACCCAGTGGAGCCTCAGGCGGCCGGTCTACGGTCTTCGCCGGGCGCCACGTGAGTGGCACGACACACTGAGAACTACTCTTGCGGCACTTTGGTTCGCGCCCTCTACTGCTGACCCGTCGTTGTTCCTGCGCACCGACACTTCGCTGCCGCCGTTCTATATCCTCGTGTACGTTGACGAATTGGTCTTTGCCACTGCTGACACTGAGGCTCTCGCCCACGTGAAGTTGGAGCTGCAGAAGAGACACACGTGCACAGACTTGGGTGAACTGTGCAGCTACCTTGGCTTGCAGATCACCCGGGACAGAGCACGCCACACCATCACACTGACTCAGTCACACATGGTGCAGCAGGTCCTTCAGCGCTTCGGCTTCACCTGGTCCTCAGAACAGGCCTCTCCTCTGGCTACAGGTCACTCGCTCTCAGCTCTGCCTTCGGATGAGTTCGTAGAGCCGAGTGGTCCTTACCCAGAGCTAGTTGGTTGCCTCATGTACCTGATGACTTGCACTTGTCCTGACTTAGCATACCCTCTTCGCCTTCTGGCCCGCTACGTGGCTCCTGGCAGGCACGGAAAGGTGCACTGGGATGCTGCAAAGAGGGTATTGCGCTACTTGTGCAGTACATCGGGCATGGGGCTCATGCTTGGAGGAGGGAACTCAAATGCTCTCACTGGGCACTCAGACGCTTCTTGGGCTGACGACCAGGCTACTCAGCGGTCGTCATAGGGTTACACCTTCAGCCTTGGTTCTGGTTCAGTTTCTTGGCGTTCTACTCGCTCGTCTTTTGTTCTCAGCTCCAGTTGTGAGGCTGAGATCTACACCACAGCCATGGCTGCACAGGAGCTACGCTGGCTGACCTACATGCTGACCGACTTGGGAGAGCGGCCTAGTTCTCCTCCAGTGCTGTACGTCGACAACAAGGCTGCCATTGCCTTGTGTGAGGAGCACAGACTAGAGCACAGAACGAAGCACATTGCTCTCCGTTACTTCTTGGCTCGAGAGTTGCAGCAGCGCGGTCAGCTTCGTTTGCGTTACGTGGCCACTCAGGCCAACACCGCTGATATATTCACCAAGGCACTTCAGCTTGGTGATCATCAGCGCTTCTGCACTATGCTAGGGCTGGTGCCCACTTTTCCTCACTTGATGTAGGCTTTGCCTGCACTGTGATCTCTATATATGTATACCTGCCTGTTTGCTTTGCTAGGTTGAGATCACCTTGCTGTTTGTGTTGCATATATGCTTCTACATGTGAACTGGCCCTGTGGCCCTTTGCTTGTGCTCAGAGTGTGTGGTGACGTTGTGATCCACCCTGAGCTTGTTTGCCTTTGCTGACTGGTCTTGTGACCCCTTGCTCTCCCCCACTTTGTCTATGGGGGTGTGTTAAACATTATATATATGTTATTGCTATGTAGGTTATAGTGGGTTAGCCTGTAAGGGGTACACAACTCTAGGGTTTCATACTGGTACTCCAATGTTTCATAGCTCAATTACTTCTTGTTTCTGACATTGTTTTGTGTTGGTGTGCCGGACGAGATGACGATCGGCTCGTCCAATTGTGCAGATGCATTTGTTGGTGCGTGTGGTGTCGTTGGAGTGTTCGTCGTCGATTGCTGACGCGCGGAGTCACGTTCCGCCATGAGCGTCGCAATTTCGAGCGCCGAATCTACAAGTTGGCGCACCAGACGGTCAAGCTGCTCCTGCGTCAATGTGGCGAGCGTGAATTTGGGTTTAGCGGGGGTGTCGAGCGAGCTCAGCGAGTGCCTCCGTCTTGGCCGTGCGTGCTTACGAGAGAGCACTACGAGTGGCAGTCTGTGTCGCTGAGAGACGTCTACCCCCCCCAAAAATTGAGATAGTTGGGAAGTGAAGGTGTGGGTGCGGTCCGATAAGAGATCGTAGGCTCTGATAACAAGGTGTTACGAGTGTAATTGAGTGAACGAACGAGAATTGCACTATCGAAGCAAGAATACAATGAGCGAAGGCATGAGCGAAGAATATATAGCAAAACTACAGTGGTAACGGTAATGGACTGTGGTTGTTGCGTGACGGGCCTGAGACTGAGGTTGGGAAAAGTGTCGAAGCGGAGGCCCAGAGCGCGGGTTACCCGCCGAGCCGTGAGGTCGGGATGCGACGTGCGAAGGTGGCGAGCGGATTGTCGATGTGAGGGTTGCGAGTGGTAACGGTGCTGACTGTGGTGCTACAGTGATGTACGCGTTGAGCAGGGATGCGAAGTAAGGAAAAGGGATTTTCCTTACAGTTGCCGAACCTGGAAGGCAAAATTGGAAGAATCTTTACAAGCCATCTCCCAACACTCTTCACAGTCTGAGGAATCATCATGATAAACCTCAAACATTGTTGCCCCGTGACTACATTCAGCAATGTTTTGTAAAACGTGGGGCAATGTTTGGGCGATTTTTTTTTTGCTGAGGCAGCTAGGATAAACCTTACCGATGGATCTAGGAACCGCATCAGCAAACGATGCAACGCTAGCTACGAATGCAATCTGGCCGCCAGTTCAGTCGTGAATGTGTCATTAAGGGATCTGATTTCAATCAGAGCCGCATGTGTCAGCCGCGACATCCGCAACGGCAATATCCACGACAATTTCCCCGACAACATGAGAATCCAAATTATTAGTTGTGTTAGCATGCGCATCAGCATCAACATCGAATTTAGAATCAGCATCAGAGTCAGCAGGGTCGTCGGGAATACCGAGGCCCGCGTTGGACCATTCGCCCGCGCACAGCCTCCCATCGCTCCCCAGGGAAGCAGCACCGCCGTCGCCCCAGCCCTGGCGATCCGTCACCCGGGATACTTCGCTACAAAATCCGAACTCGGTATAAGATCATACCTCGGTATATTCTCGGAAGCAAACCCAAACGGCTAAGATACATTTTTGTCTGCGAAATTTTCGCCAGGATGGGCAGAAGGGAGCAGCCCGAATCCAACCACCAGCATGTAGGCAGCTGCAAATGGGAAACCTGTTTAGTACAGTCACATCCGCAGACGCGGCTGCAACTGTGCATCCCAAAAATGGTGAGGGGTGTGACGTACGTTCTGAAAAGCCTACGTTCGCACCCCAAATCTATGGCGCAGGTTGAGGAAGATCGAGCGTAGGTGCGGGGTATGTTGTCGCAACTTGAGGGCATGTTGAGCGCATGTTCAGCGGAGGTTTCGAAGCTGACGCGCAAGCAGCCCAAGGTTCGAGCTTGAAGTTGCGGGACGTAGCTTTCCAGCTAGCCAACCTGAACCTCCCGAGCCTTTCTAAGCCGAGCTTCGAACCAGGCTCGTGTTTCTTTTGTAAAATGCTGTACAATTTGTGAAGTTAATATATGAGATCTGTATAGCGTTTCATTTACTGAAAACACTTGATACCTTTTTGTCAGGCATATATGCTATAGTCTGTGTAGGCTGTAGTGGGGCAGTTCATATGGGGTACAACACTTTAGGGTTTACTACTTGTACTCCTCATTCTGCTCATGCATTCCTTTCGGCCCCGTCGCCGCCCCGTTTAGGCCCCTTGCGGCCCCTCTTCGGCCCCGTCTAGGCCCCTTGCGGCCCCTCTGCAGACCCTCTGAGACCCCGTCGCTGCCACTTGCGGCCCCATCACCGCCACCTGCGGCCCCGACGCCGCCACCTGCGGCCCCGTCGCCGTCACCTGCGGCCCCGTCGCCGCCACCTGCGGCCCCGTCGCCACCACCTGCAGCCCCGTTGCCGCCACCTGCGGCCCCGTCGCCGCCACCTGCGTCCCCGACGCCGTCACCTGCGGCCTCGTCGCCGCCACCTGCGGCCCCGTCGCCGCCACCTGCGGCCCCGTCGCCGCCACCTACGGCCCCGTCGCCGCCACCTTCGGCCACGCAGCCGCCACCTGCGGCCCCGCCGCCACCTGCGGCCCCGTCGCCGCCACCTGCGGCCCCATCGCCGCCACCTGCGGCCCCGTCGCCGTCACCTGCGGCCCCGTCGCCCTCCCCTAGCGGCCCTGTCACCGCTCAGCCGCCCAGCAGCCGAGCTGCCCAGCAGCCAAGCCGCCCAGCAGCCGAGCCGCCCAGCAGCCGAGCCGCCCAACAGCCGAGCCGCCGAGCCGCCCAGCAGCCGAGCCGCCCAGCAGCTGAGCCGCCCTGCCGCCGAGACGTCGAGCCGCCCTACTGTCGAGCCGCTGCTGTTCCTACCAGTGCACCCCGGCCCTCCTTTCTCGGATTGGTGAGCTCACTCCCTACTAGGCCTCTGCAGTCATGGCTGTTGAACAAGGAATGAAATGACTAAGAATCAAATGAGTACAAATGTGGAAACCTAGAAGTGTGTACCCCCTATAGGCTAACCCACTGTAGCCTAAACAACTACAACAATATATATAATGTTTAACATGTCAGATTTATATGACATAGTTTCTGTAGGCTATAGTGGGGTAGCACATATGGGGTACAGGGTTTCTAGGGTTGTATTTGTACCCAATCTTCCATAGTCATTTCATTCCTGTTTTCCTTGTTTCACATGGTATAGAGCGGGTCCTACCTTAGGACCGTTTTTTTAGGGCCCACCGAAGCGCGCCCCGAGGCGCGCCTTTTTTTTAGCGACCCCTCGGGTCGCCTTTTCCCTCGCGGCCCCGCTGTCCCTCAGACGCGGCCCCGCCACCTCCCCTGACGCGGCCCCGCCGCCTGTTTGACGCGCCCCCCCCGCCTTCCCTGACGCGGCCCCGCCGCCTCCCCTGACGCGGCTCCGCCGCCTCCCCTGACGCGGCACCGCCGCCTCCCCTGACGCGGCTCCGCCGCCTCCCCTGACGCGGCTCCGCCGCCTCCCCTGACGCGGCCCTGCCGCCTCCCCTGACGCGGCCCCGCCGCCTCCCCTGACGCGGCTCCGCCGCCTCCCCTGACGCGGCACCGCCGCCTCCCCTGACGCGGCCCTGCCGCCTCCCCTGACTCGGCTCCGCCGCCTCCCCTGCCGGCCCGCCGCTGCTCCTGCCGGCCCGCCACTGCACCTGCCGGCCCGCCGCTGCACCCAGCGGCCAGCCGCCTCTGACGGCCTTGCCACTGCACCTGCCGGCCCGCCGCCTCTGACGGCCTCGCCGCTGCATCTGCCGGCCCGCCACTGCTCCCTACGGCCCGCCGCCTGCACCTGCCGGCCCGCCACTGCACCTGCCGGCCCGCCGCTGCACCTGCCGGCCCGCCGCTGCACCTGCCGGCCCGCCACTGCACCGGTCAACCCGCCGCTGCACCTGACGGCCCCGCCCCTAGATCTCCCAGCCGAGCCGCCCGGGCCCCGAGCCGCCCTGCCGCCGAGCCGCCCGGGAGCCGAGCCGCCCTGCACCCGAGCCGCCCAGCCGCCGAGCCGCCCGGGAGCCGAGCCGCCCGGGAGCCGAGCCGCCCGGGAGCCGAGCCGCCCTGCGCCCGAGCCGCCCAGCACCCAAGCCGCCAGGTCGCTGAGCCGCCTTTCTGCATACCTACTCGACCTGCCCTGCCTGGTGAGCACAGTCCCACTGCCACTGCAAGCTCTTTCCCTGCTGCTTGCACTGCGTCGCTGTCGTCGCCATGGCTACCCCTAGTGTCCTAGCTTTTGACGCTGAGGGTCGCGCCATTGATTTTGAGGTCTGGTTAGACGACCTGCAGCTGTTCTTACAGTGCGACAGGGCTGACGACCTTTCTCTCTTTGATCTCACCTCTGGCGCCTCTCCTGCTCCTGCTGCTGATGCTGATCCCGCTGTCCGCTCTAAGTGGGCCACCCGCGATGCTGCTGCACGTCTTGCTGTGCGTCGCCACCTCCCTACCTCTGAGCGTGCGCACTTTAGTCAGTACAAGAGTGCTCAGACCTTGTATGACGCTGTAGTTGCGCGCTACTCCTCCCCTGCCACTGCTGCACTGAGCCGTCTCATGCTTCCCTACCTCTTTTCTGACCTCTCTGCCTTTCCCACAGTCGCTGACCTCATTACGCACCTCCGCACTAGTGACACTCGCTACCGCGCCGCCCTTCCTGCTGAATTCTGCGCTAAGAACCCCCCCCCCATGTACATCGCTCTCTACTACGTAGTCGCGCGCCTCCCTGACTCCCTTCGCGTCGTCAGGGACCACTTTCTCGCAGTCTGTCCCACCACCCTCACCGTCGATCTCCTCGAGAAGGCCCTCCTTGCAGCGGAGAAGAGCATAGTCGCTGTAGGTGCTTCTCGTGGTGACCCTCGCACCCCCATCTTTGAGGGGTGCTCTCCTTCCCCCTTGCTGCCCTCTGTTGCCTCTGCTGCTGCTGCCGACCTGCTTGGTCTTGAGTCGGTCGGCGCGGCGTCTGCCCCTAGTGGGAGACGTCGCTCCAGCAAGGGCAAGGGGGGCAAGGGCGCGGGTGGAGCTGGAGGGGGCGGTGGCGGTGGCGGCGGTGGCGGCGGAGGGAGTGGGGGTGGCGGCGGGACTAGTGGCGGGGGTGGTGGTGGTGGTGGTGGTGGCAGCAGCGGCGGAGACGGTGGTGGTGGTGCCAGCGGTGGTGGTGGAGGCAGCGGCGGAGGTGGAGGCGGCGGAGGTGGAGGCGGTGGAGGCGGCAGCGGAGGAGGCAGTGGTGGTGGAGGAGGTGGAGCTGGTCGGGGTGGTACCCAGCAGCGTAGCGGCGGTGGTGGTGGCCAGCGCTCGCACCGGCAGCAGCAGCAGCGCTCGCGGGACATCCCTTCGCCTCAGCAGCTTCGTGAGTGGTACGCTGGGCGTCAGAGGGGTGGGGGTACTGGTCCCTGCACCTACGTTCTTCGTTCCGGCGACCGCGCGGGTGAGCAGTGTGGGGGTGCCCACGCCACCCAGCGCTGCTTTGGCCGCCTGACGGACGCCTGGCGTCAGCAGTTCCCTGGGGCTAGTGAGATCCCTCGCTGGGATGAGCTTCTCAGGGCTGGTGTAGCGATCTTTGATCTTGATTTTGATGCTATCCTTACTACTATGTATGTTGTGGATTATAGTGAGGAGAATGAGGGTTACCGGTGTTTCCAGCCCGACCCGGGCATTGGTACTGCTGCGCTAGGTGCTTGTGAGGCTGCTGCTCTAGGTGCCAGTGCGTCTGCGCTCTCAGGTACTGGTGAGACTGCGCTCTCAGGTACTGCGTCGTCCTCGTCCTCCCTCACTTTCACACTTGACTCCGGAGCTTCTCGCTCCTTCTTTCGAGACCGCACTACCCTTACGCCGCTCGGCCGGCCGGTTGCTGTCTCCCTTGCTGACCCCTCTGGAGGTCCTGTCCTGTCTCACTTCTCCACTGTCCTCCCGTGTCCGGCTGCCCCTTCGGGCACCCTGTCGGGTCTGTACCTTCCCTCGTTCTCCACGAACTTGGTGAGTGGAGCGGACCTGCAGGATGGGGGTGTTCACCAGTTCACTCCTGCGAGTCAGCGGGTGACCCACTGCACGGAGGCACGCACAGGCCGACACCTGGCCACGTTCTCGCGTCGGCCGGGGTCGAGTCTCTACACCCTGACCGTTGAGTCTCCTCCTGTCCCTGCGTCTGGTCAGGTGCTTGCGTCGGGTCAGGTACTTGCTGCTGCGTCCCGGTCAGGTCCTGAGTCTGCCCCCTGTTCTTGTCGCCTCCTGTCTCACGAGACTCTCCTGTGGCACCACCGTCTTGGCCACCCCTCCTTGCCCCGTCTTCGGAGCATGGCTTCCCGTGTCCTTGTCTCTGGTCTTCCCCAGTCTCTCCCTCCTCTCCCCTCCGGGCCAGGACCTTCCTGTGTCCCGTGTGTCGAGGGTCGCCTCCGGGCTACTCCTCACTCCTCCCACTTCCCCCCGACAGAGGCTCCCCTGCAGACGCTTCACATGGATGTGTGGGGCCCAGCCCCCGTCCGTGGGCAGGGTTACGAGCGCTACTTCCTGTTGGTGGTTGACGACTACTCGCGCTACACCACAGTCCTCCCCTTGCGCAGCAAGGGTGAGGTCACTGAGGTGCTGATCGACTGGATTCGCGAGGCTCGTCTCCAGCTCAGGAAGAGCTTCGGCTCGGACTTTCCTGTTCTGCTTCTGCACTCTGACAGAGGTGGAGAGTTCTCTTCTCGCCTTCTGCGAGACTACTGTCGCGCACGGGGGATCCGCCAGACCTTCACGCTTCCGGACTCACCACAGCAAAATGGGATTGCTGAGCGCCGCATTGGCATGGTCATGGATGTCGCTCGTACGTCCATGATGCATGCGGCTGCCCCCCATTTTCTGTGGCCGTTTGCGGTGAGGTACGCGGCGCATCAGCTCAACCTTCACCCCCGGGTCTCTCGGCCTGCGATGTCCCCAGCCTTGCTGTGGACGGGGAAGGTTGGCGATGCGTCTGTGTTCCGTGTCTGGGGATCTCGGGCGTTTGTCCGCGACTTGTCTGCGGACAAGCTGTCCCCTCGTGCTGCTCCCTGTGTTTTCCTTGGCTTCCCCACTGACGCCCCAGGGTGGCAGTTTTACCACCCCTCCTCTCGTCGTGTTCTGTCCTCCCAAGACGTCACGTTCGACGAGTCAGTCCCCTTCTACCGTCTCTTCCCCTACCGCACTCCTTCCCTCCCCCCTCCCCCGGACTTCCTTGTGCCGGTTCCCCCCCCGGTAGTCCCCCTCCCCCCTCAGGTTCCTGCCCCCTCAGGTGTGTCCCAGGTAGACGCCGTTGACCGGGTCGAGGTTACTGGTGACTCTGGTGCTGCTGCGGGTGCTGAGCCTGGGGGTGCTGACTCTGGGGGTGCTGTGCGCGGGGGTACTGAGCCTGGGGGTACTACTGCTGGGGGTGCTGGGCCTGAGGGTGCTACTGCGGAGGGTGCGGAGCCTGGGGGTGCTGAGCTGGGGGGTGCTGTGCCTGGAGGTGCTGGGTCTGGGGGTGCTGGGTCGGGAGCTGCTGAGCCTGGGGGTGCTGAGCTGGGAGCTGCTGAGCCTGGGGGTGCTGCGTCTGGAGCTGCTGAGCCTGGGGTTTCTCCTGCTGCTACGTCTCGCCGGGAGCCCCTCTCTCCACAGGAGCTGCGCGAGTGGTTCGCTCGCCGCTGGAGGCGTGCTGCTGAGTCTGGAGGTGC